GACAGAAACGGCGCTCCCACACAGGAAGATCGCGTGGGCCGCGGTGGGGCGCAGCTCTGCACAGAACTTCAACAGGAAGAGCTGCGGAGACTTCCAGCGCCTGAAGCAAGGGCTGTCTCTGTGCTGGCCGAAGTTTACTGTAATTACTCGTATCCTTCGGACTGGTCTTTCAGCTGTTGCGGGAAAGTGAAGATACCATGCCAGGCACCTGCACCGGTGGCGAATCTGCTTTTCTCTTGTTCGAAGTGGCCAAATCCCTTGCAGCCCTCCTCTGGTTGCCCTGGGCTTACCTCATCTTGCTGCGGCGGCCCTAGCCACCATCAAAGACCGAAACTTCGTAATCGTCGTGCTGGCACAATGGTGTCATCATGCTGCGGCCAGTGCCCAAGATCAGCACGGGCGGAGTGGCCATCGAGTTGCCGTTCTCGGGCTCGACAAGGTCTCTGACAAGGTCTGCCGCGCGTAGCATGCATAGTAGCCGTGTCAGTCCAAATCGCGTTCTCGGCACAGGGCAAGCGCAAGCCGGACTCCTGCGCACCGGCATTGTTCGAAGAAGACTACGACGGGTTAATTGCACTCCGCTTATGACTGGAATCTGTCTTCAAAGACTATACATAATATGTATGTAGCATAGCGTCCAACCAGTATTCAACTCAAGTTGCTTTTGGTGCAGGACGCCCGCCTGGCATTCACACAAGCTTGGTCGGTGCAGAACTTCAGGAGGATGCAGGGATCCACCCTCTGGGGCCATTCAGAACAAGTCGAAGCTTCCCGGAGCCTCTTGCTCAGGCTGCTGTTCAGCTGTGCAGTATAAGCGTTGCAGCACGGGCATACGCTGGTCCGGATAGCTCTCTGCATCTTTCGTGGTGAAGTCTCTGTTCATGTAGTCGGCATTCCGCCCAGCCCGCGTGAAGCAGCGACCACCCACTTTATCCCAGTCGGCTGCTCTCCGGGTCCTTACCGGCCTGGCTCGGTTCTTGGCGGGCGTAGGTCTCCACGAAGTCCTGGCCACCTGAACTCCGAGCTACAAAAGTGCCTGAGGGCTTACGATTTTAAGGTTTTGGGCTTTGTCACAAGCCCTTTCATTAAGCCCAACACCCAATAAGCCCTCTAGAATTTATGTACACTCTAGACTCCAGATCATTCTTGGGCTTTGAGCACCGGACCTGCCAAGGCTTCGGTGCTAAAGCCTCAGTCGAATCGAGAAAAAGAAGTGTTCGCACAGTAATATAGGGGCCTCAATAATTAGAATAGGGGTTTTGGGCCCAGTACACTATAATTGTAGTTTGGAGCCCCCAAAGTATAGGCAATTATTAAGGCCCCTACATTAGGGTACCCTTCCTCGATCCATCAAAGGATCGTTCCAGGTAGGTGGGGCCCGGCGGCGGCAGCACGACTGGGCGGAAGCCACGGGACAGCTAAGAAGCCTAAACCCTAAACCCCCGTCCCCACCCACCCCCCCTCCGCCTCTTTCTGCGAGGCTCGGGTCCCCCAAAACGGCTGCCAAAGGCGTGGAGGCCCAATCTGCGGAGCCTCCCGGGCGCCGGCAGGCGAACAATCCCGCGCGAAGCCGCTGGAAGTCCTCGCAGTTTCTGAGCGAGGTTAGATTGAAGGGCCATAGAGAAGCGGGGGGCGATGCGTTCAGCCCGTTGCCGTGCTCTTCGGAACAGCATTCCGTCCAACTTCGGCTTGTATCGAAAATCAGCCCTACACCCTAAACCCCCAACTCTAAACCGCAGGTCCTGCTTGGACTTGCCCACGATGTCCTTCAAGCATCGCACTTCCTGGGGAGATTGCAGGAGTGAAAGACTGTCTTGGCAGATCCCGACAGTTTCGGTTAACAGGGCTTGATTATTCGCTTAGCAAGTCGAGGTTCTCCCTTGGTTTAAAGGCCTAGTTGCTGAAGCATCGTGCTGCAGGTCGCAGGCTGTTGTCAACATAGGTTAGTAGTAGAACGATACCAACATGCTACCGACAAGACAATACCAATACTAAACAACCACCATGTAAATGATGATGACAAATTGCTCGGAGAAACATCGCAGCGACTAAATACGGGCTGCGACGCGGTCCGCAACACTCACCTGCAATCATTGATTCTTTGTGCCTCCCTGTCAAGGCAGTCTCACGGCCAAGGTTTCGCGGCACATGCACTGTGGGTGCACACTACACTAAGTACACTAGGACCTCATCGATTTTCGGCTGACCGCGAGGGCACGCATAGTATGACAAGTTGTGTTCTTGCTGTACGCAAGCGGTGCCGGCGAGTATGTTGAACCTAAATCCTCCCCATGCTCCCAATGTATTGGTTGTCGATCCCCTAACTTCAAGCATCCGCAACACTTGTCACCCTGGCTGGCCCACGGCTAAACCCAGAACCCGAAACAAAAAGCCACTGCTTCAGTCTGCAACTTGGAGTCGTCTTCAGAGAACCAGGACTCGCCAAGATAGAAGCGCAAGAAGCTAACGGCGGACTGGGAAACGGCCAGCGTCTGCTGGCTTTGGCTAAGCACCTGGGCTGCAACGGATGCAGAAACTCTGTGTGCATACATAGTGTATGTACGCAGTCTGTAATTCTCTACTTACCCATCACCTAACTATCACGATCTATCACGTATTCTATTCTATACTATTCTCAGCTTATCCTTAGGTGGCTGCATATATCACTGCCTGGCGAAGCGACCGGCAGGGATAGGTTCTTGGAAGAAAAACCTTGACATCACTGGATATCACGAAGCACGCTGATGTGAGAGGGAGAGAACAAACGAATCGAAAGAGAACCAGAGAGGGGCAGAGAGAAAAAGCGATAACTTTTCAGAGCCCTTCCTCTAGCCGAGGCCCGGCCAAACAAACGAGGCTTGCTGCTTCGTGCGGAAACGGAAACCGACTTCAAGCCAAACCAGGCCATTTCAAAAGGAGATGTAGAATGTAGAACAGAGAAGCCAGTCTGACAGCAAGCCCCGCCCGAACGCATCCCATACTGAGAGAAACTCTGTCAGAGCGGACAGCACGAAACATGAAACCAGTGTACACCCTGCTATGCATGTGGAGAGCACACATGCATGTCACGTGGCCACCATACCTAGGAAAGGACGAATGCGCGAAATAGACTGCATGGGCTATATAGATGAGTAGATAAAGACACATAAATATGTGACGAGTAGAGAGAGAGAGAGAGAGAGAGAGAGAGAGAGAGAGAGAGAGAGAGAGAGAGAGAGAGAGAGAGAGAGAGAGAGAGAGAGAGAGAGAGAGTGAGAGAGAGACATGTAGATCGCTAGATAGGTAGGTAGGTCAGTAGAGAAGTAGATGGTCGGATAGATTTCGCAGCATGAATTGAACAGATGTATCGACAAATAGCTCGGCAAACCGATAGATACGGCAGGTAGTCACATTTCTGTGCACGCTCTTGAGGCTAAGCGCAACTTTCGTTCCGATGCAGGCAAGGAGCATGGTGTTCGGCCATGGAGGCTCCTGGAGCTTCGAACATCGGAGCTTCAGAGATGCTATGGAGCAGGAAGCTGCCCCGGACATCACCTGACTCTGTCTCCAGGATCCAACGGATGCTTTCGGCCTCACAGAGAGACAAGGCCAGGGTAGACGTGGAGGACGTGGATGTGTCGGCTTGGAGTTGGAGGGCCACAAGAACGGGGCGAAGCACCGGAATCTCGCTGGTGAGGCGAGAGTTTGGGGAGAATCGGAGACGAAGGTTCTGCAAGCGTGCTCGGGCCTCCAGTCCCTTCGCTGCCTGTGTGGCCGATCCGGCTTGTGAGGCCAGGTTCAGGGTGTCTGCGATCGTCGCCGCGGACGGGAAAGCGAAGAGGTGGATGTCCTGAATCTTGTCCCCGCCAGTGACAGCACCAATAATCTCCTCCATCTTCTGCTGAAGGTCCCACACACGGCTCTCACCAATGCGAGGCCGGTTCACCGTCGTGTCCTTCTCGGATTCCACCTGTTGCTTGAGGCTTGGGAGGCAGCTGCACTGCCAATATCTTACACACAATGTATAGCTCTGAAACAGTTGCAAACTAACGGTACCAGCCCTGCCTGATGTTCCAGCTGCTGCTGCTGCTCCTGCTCGCGAACGATTTCCCCGCCTCCTCCCCCACGCCCATGCTCTACGACATCGCCCAAAAGTTGTACTGCTCGCTCCACGGCCCTCTCAACAGCTGCGGCCAAAGGCTTGGTCTTCACAAAAGGGGCGGCCAAATCTCTCAAAGATTCCTGCAGACTCCGCGTCGTGCGTTGCTGGACATCGGAGCTCACGGTCTCCAGAAGCACCTCCAGGGCCGTTCGGAAATCGCCCTTTTAAGTGACCGACTTTCCGCACACCCCTTCCTTATACTGGAACCATAAAGAGGTCCTGGACAAGCACCACAACTCGAGTCGTCGGACCTCCACGTCCTCCCTGCGACCAGCCATCAAAGCTTGAAGAGCCTCAGACTTCCACACATTCCCCAGATCTTGGCGCACGAGCTGCCGGGCTTGGAGCTCTTCTTGCTCCACGGAGCCTCGAACTTTAAACAAATTTGGAAACAAGTTGGGTTCCACCAGGACAAGAGTGAACTTCAAAAGGGCCTTTTCTAAGGGCTTTGTAAGGGTCTGTTTGAGCTCCCGTATGCTGCTGTGGAGCGCATCAAGAGGCAGGATTGGATGTCTTGCAGCGCTCGGGAGTTGTTCGAAAGAGGCACCGCAGTCTCATCTTCCAGAGCACTGCGCCTCAGACCCAAACAGAAACTAAAGACACTGAGACTGAAACGAAGATCCCGAAACCCAAAACACCCCATGGCTTGAGGATGGCTCTTGCGCTGCAGGATGTACACCCTCTCGCGACTTTCGACTGAGCAGATCGCATGTAGACCGCAACATCTTCGGGAAGAATCCTTGGAAGGCACAAGATGCACAAACATGTTGTGAACTTGCGAGGAAACCTCTAAGGCAGGACGGGTGGTGTCGATACATTCATAGGCATGCAATGATTCCGGCAGGCGTTTGAAACCAAGAGTCATTTCCAGAGTTTGCCCTCTTGCAAGACCGCGCATCCGCCAGGCCCCTTGCTGAAGCTCCCGGATGCTCATGTCCCTTCCCATCGTGATGGCAGCAACCTCTGCGAGAGGGATATCCTACCGGTAGGGACGGCTACGCCCAGGTCGCTCTTGGAAGACTGAGCTTCGCACTCCCAGTGAAGGCTGATTGATGTCAATCCCTGTAGTGTGCGGCTGGTCGAAATAGCAAAAGCGCTTTTCCGGAAGGATGCTGGCATCTTCCAAAGGGACAGCCGAAGCAGCGCCTTTGAGCAGAATCATGGGCAGGTCGGTTCCACGGGCCAGGAAGATGCAGGCCTCTTTTGCATCTCCCTCACCTCCCTCCTCCGTCAGGGGGCTCTCCATGAGCCACTTTGCCACCGCCTCGTTCTCCAAGCCGCAGAGGAGAGCCGCCGTGTCGATCAAGGCGCAGAAGTGGGGTCGCCTGTACGAAAGCAAAAACAGCGAAAGCCTCGCGGATCCTCGCGGACTATCTGCCTACAGCGGCTGTTTGCTGGGCGTCTCCATCTACCTAACTCTAACCAAATCGCTATCTCTCTCGCTATATCATTTAGGTTACCTATCTACCTATATCTGCTGAGGCATAGTTTTGGGGGCAGTGTTTGCTTACATGGAAAATCCAGAGCGTCGAGGCGGGCGGGGGCGGGGGCGACCCTGAAAGAAGCTCCCCTGGCCCGGTTTTTGTTCAGCTCCCCACCTGTTGGCCACGTATTTGAGCACGGACTGCGGGGTCCAGCCCGACTTGAGGTGATGGATTTGGACCAGGTGTGGGGAGGAGAGGATAGCCATGGTCTTCCCATCCGTGGTGCCGTCAAACTCCACCAAAGGCAAGCTGGAGGGGAGGATGTTGCTAGGGGTTCCCGAGAAGCCCAGCCTCACCTTAAAGAGACTCGGCGAAGCAAGCTCTTGTGCGCAGGCGGAGAGCTTCCTCGTCTGACATGGTGTAGCCTTCGGAAAGATCTCCCGGGCCAAGTAGTAAAGATAGACGGGTGCCTTTCCGGCCCAGAGCTTCTTGAGGGAGAGGATGGATGCAGGATCCGGCTGGATTAAATCCAAAGGCAGGACCCCACCCGAGTCGGAGGCTTTCCCGTCCTTTTCGTCGGGGTCCGACTGCGTCCATGCCTGGAAGCTTCGAAAGGCCTTGCGCTGCACCGTTGGAGTCCCTGCATCCCGAAGGAGGTCAGACTTCAGCCTCGGAGAGGACACAAGAAGGAGGAGACGGATTCCGGAAGATGAGGAGGAGGTGTACCATCGCCAAGGAAACTAAGTGACGCTCATGGTGTCTACAGTGCTAAATGACGTTCCTCAACATGGACCCAAAACAAAGGCCCGGACAGGAGCAGCAGAGTCTTCACGTCGCACTGGCGCATGCCTTCGTGCCCAAAGGCGAGGATGGTCAACCTTTGGGCGTTGATTCGAACATCTTGGAACAGAATCTTGCTATGCGGCTTATCTAGGGCCAAACCCTCAACAAACTGAAACAACCCTCAACTCGTTTGGGTTCAGGGTTGTTTACTGCGTGGACAAGACCCTGAGCAAACATCACACAATTCGTGCCAGCGCAATTCCGAACCCAAGCGCCCGATTGCGACGTCGGGATTGGCAAACTCCGATGCGATGGAAGGCGTTTCCAGGCCGGTGAAAGGTACCTTGCTTCCCGAAGATCGAATTCTGTGCATGAACTCTTGCACGCTATCGCCATATGCTTGTGACTACTATCCGTCTTGGGTGCGAGACATGTCCTACACAGCCCTGATGCATGCTCAAAACGGTCCCACAGGGTTGGAGTGGTTCTTCCGCTTCGGGGTTGCATGTTTACACGCCGCAAGATGTCAAACATGATTGGCGGTCTTCGGCTCTGAGTCCACACTCACACAGCCGAACATGGAAACCAGGATTGGGGTACAGTTCAATTCAACTGCCACTCTGCCGAAAGCGCCAAGATATCATAGAAGAGGTGAAACATCCGCTCTCGGCTGGAGCCCCAACAGCTTCAGCGCTGACTCACACGGCCGATTGACAATCAGCATTGGATGATGTCAAAAACTGAGTTACACGTCCCAATGTGTGCAACGGAACTGGGGAGCAGTCTTCAACTCTGGATTATAAACATCAACTACTTCGACAAGGAGGAAAGCGAATGATGAGACGAACTGAGACATGTTATGAACGACTGATTCCTACAGTATCATGCCTGATGCCTCCAAGGTGCGGCCATCTGGAGCCGGGTGCCTCGCGCCGGGTATCCCCGTGCTTCAAGGTCTCGGGTGTCCTGGACTGGGACGGACCCTTGGCGGTTCTGTCAGGGCAGGCATTCCCGCCTAAACGCAGGGCCACAGATCAGGACAGGGGCTAACGAAATACGGTGGGATGTCGGGGAATGAGATTCCGCTGGCTCTGTCGCCCGTGCGCCTTCTGCCGCAGCAGGCCATAGTGCACTCGGTTGACCTTGGCGAGGACGAAGGGCAGGGTGTGCCTGCAGCGCACGGAAAAATCGCCGGAGGTCACCATGTCAAGATTTCGGCCCCTCCTTATAACCCTATTTTTAAACTCTACATAAACACTGCACCCCGAAAATCCCAAAATGAATGCTCGGTAGCCTGCCTCAGCCAGTCCCGGCCGAGAACCAACAGCTGACTTGCCCGATCGGTCGCGCTTAGTGACACTTCCTCACCCAACGCCACAAAAAAGTCCTGCACTTGTTTGGTATAAGAAGGTTTGCATAGATTCTGGGGTAGGGTGCTGTTTCGGGCTTGGGTCCTGATTTTGGCTCCCTTTAAAGGCTCCATGCCCACGAAAGTAGTCGCAGAGCCAGTGCCGCAGGGGAGGCTCCAGGTGCTCGAAATAGAAGTCCTCGATAACCTGGAGGCTTTCAGAAAACACTTGGGGTCCTTACATAAGGACTCCCTTTTGGGGCCTACGAAGAAGGACTATAGTGACCCGTAAGGCTCGGTTAGATGTTGCGAGATAGGGAAATGGACCCCGAAATACCCCGAAACTTTGGGGGTTCCTTAAAGGGTTCTACAAGGGATCTATAGGGTTTGAGGTGAAGGGTTCCTCTAAGGGATCCCCCCGAGTCCCCCACCAGGACCAGATGGGGGCTCTCACGCAGAGCCAGCTGCTTGAGGCCCTTCTTGATCTCCTACCAGGTCCCAGAACAAGCGGAGCTCGCGGAAAGTCAGGGGCTACTGTGGTAATATATTGATCAAGGATCAGTGTAGCAACATGGTCCGTTTATGTAAGTAGGAGCATACCATACTGCGGGGGGGGCCTGCCACGAGCAAAGAAGGCGGAGGCACAAGAATCCACCGAAGAGAGATGAACTTTTCCGGACGCTTTGGGACCCCACCTCGCAGCACCTCTGCCAAGCGGGGCTTTGGCTGCCTTCCACATCCGTGTCCACGCACAGGAAGGGCTGAAGAAGATGCCTCAAGGATTGGGTTTTTTTCCAAGGATTTGGGTTTAGGGTTTAGGGTTCAGGGAGGATCCACTGCTCGCGCGTTTGGGGAGCTTCTTCTCTGATGAGGCCCGGCTGAAAACAGGTCTCCGAGCCGCATGGGCAGCTCCCAGCGCTCAGGAGAAAGATCCAGGGGCTCCCGAGCGCCCACGGGAAAGTTCCTTGGAATGGAGAGAACTGAAGCTGCGAAAGGTTCCCTCGGCCCCGTGGTCCGAGAGGCAACTCCGACATCAGGGGGTGAAGCAGCAAGTCCACTTCCTCAGGCCCAGTCCCACCCCAACCTTCAAACCTTCACTCTGGAGACTCACTTGTGATCTTGTGGTCCTAGCACCTACATCCAGGCAAGCCGCATCCAAGACGCCAACGCTGGACTGGAACGTGGACAAAACGCCGGCCAAGCAAATACTTGTGAACTCGAGCTCCTTCCTTGTTGCACCCCATGGGCAAGAAATCAGTCAGCGCTGCTAGCACGAACGCCTCTACAATGTCACGACGACTCATATCTGATAGCTGCTGCCCCCAGATAAAATTTCGCTGCAAGAGCAAGAGACCGAACCAAACAAAGCAACCATACACTCCAAAACCTTGTAAACCCTCTAAACCCTGAAACCTTACACTCTAAACTCTATAGCCTTGACCGCTGAACTCACCAACGTCGGGGAGCTCGTGGGAGGCATCTGCCATGCGAGGCCACAGTTTGCAGGCAAGATCCAAGCACCTACGGCTCGGACAGAATCGAGTTGGGGTTTGGGCATGGTTTGGGGTGCAGGCTTCGGGATGGAACTGACACAGGATTCCAAGGAGCTACGGCTACTGGACAGGAGCTACTTTCAGCAGAAACTATAGCATTTTGGGGGCTATTGCACGGATCTACTCCCCGTTAAGCGCCAGTACATCCTGTTCAGACGATATCCGATTGAGTTTGAGTTGGAGACTAGTGTTGCTGGACGCCTCCTGCCGCAGGTTCTCGTGGTACACCCCAACCCAAGTACAGAGGTTTCAGGGGCACAACCGAAAGTAGGCTTTGGTGGAGCTGGGCCGCTGGGACGCCGTACGTGCCGAGGCCGCAGGGGGCGCTTTCAGCCTGGCAGAGCTTCGCGAGCGGCCCAAGAGAGACGACTTTGCTATGGTTTCCTTTCTGTTGGCGCCGGTTTCCGTCTCCGAAAAGGTACCATACTGTAAAGAAGAAGGTACACAGAAGGCTCGTTGAGCCGGGCGAAAAGTCGGCCCCATCCCGATTTCGATCGGTCTAGGGCTTGGGGTTGATTACTGCTACACGCTTGAAGCTTTTGGGTTCAGGGGTCCGACTTTCAGTAATTTTCTTTGCGAGCTGCACTTTCTACAGGAATCTAGAAGTCCTTTGCCAGGATAACTGCCAGGATGAACTAACTCGTCAAGCAGACCCTACAAAACCTGAAAACATACGGACACTTCACGTTTCTATAACCCGCACACTGTCAAGATCTGGCCTGCTCAATTTCGTCTCTGCCTCGACGAAGGCCAAGATGCAACCTCAGTGGGGTTGAGAGGTTTGGGTTGAGGAGTTTGGGGGAATGAGCAGCATAACATGCACTCTGCAAGTCGATCCAGTTGCGAGCTCGGGGGCTCTTGATGGAGGATGCAGTGGAGCAGACCTCAGAATGATCATATCCGTAGCTTCTGTAGCAGCGTTGCCTCCGAAGGTGTTCGGGAAGTGAAGCAATTCTGGGGCTCAAGAAGATTCATGGTGGGTGACATGAGACGACTAAATTCTCGGTGGGCTTCATGGCGCACCCACGTCTGTCTCGGCGCAGCTGAGATGCTGCAGCGCGCTGCTTGGTTGCGGTGGCCAGCTTGCGTAACAAGGCAAATGACGAAGTCGAAGTGGCATCGGATCTGTCGAAGCCCATGTGGTAGACTGGCCGGAAGAAGGCCTGGGTCTAGGTCGTCGTTCTGAGCGAAGTGCACATGCACACGCAGACACATGCGCACAGACGCACACACAAACACAAACACAAATACAAGCACACACACACACACAGAGATAGATAGATAGATAGATATATATATATATATATATATATATACACGCGCACACACAGAGACAGAGGTACAACATCAAGCCTCGCCCCAGAGCACTGAAGCAAGAAAAGGTTGCATCCCACCCAAGAGCAAAGCAGCTCGAAAGAGACCACACCTTCATGCACCACGACTTTCGCTAAACCATCCCTTACAGCAGTGCAGCACAGTTCAAAAGTGATAACTTTGGGGTGCTACCTCCCCCCGGCCCCGGCTCAATGCCTCACAACAGGGGGTAGAGCCTACATGCATCGCGACTTTCGACAATCCCGCACATCAACGCAATTAAGCCTTCATTCAGCACTGCACGAGGCAAAACCTGAACCCAGAAAAAACACCACGATGTGGGTCAAAGCTTCATGCATCACCCTTTCGGCATCACCCGAACTCCGCAGACCAATGCACCATGGTACTGGCCAAGCCTTCATGCATCACGACCTGCGACAAGACTCCCCTAAGACCTCAGCACGAAGGGGCTCAAGCCTTCATGCATACACACTTCGGACAAGAGATCCCCCCTCTGCAGGCAAACGCACCACGAAGAAGTCAAGCCTTCAGTACATGCATACTTCCCCGACAACCCCCATCCTCCAAAGCAACGCAGCAGGAAAGAACTCGAAAGAGGGAGCAGCTGTCCTGTTTGAACACATGAGTTGGCACTCAGCGCCAGCAATGCCGGATCCTTCTGGTGGTGAAACACACTGAATCCGAAAATCAAAGATGCTGCCCATTTTGAGCCTAACCCTCAACCCTTTAAAGGTTCCTTTAAAGGGCAGCTTGGCTAAGTGGGAGTTTCCGAAAATAGGGAACCCTAATATAGTTCCCTAAATAGTATATAAGGAGCCCAAAATACGGTACCCCTTTTTTCGGAAACTCCCAAGTCTGGATCCAAGGCCAGGGCCTGTCCGAAGAGCGCCCGGGTCATAGCCAGGCTCTGCGAGAGCAGCGGATCGGGAACCACCTCGGAGGGTTTGTAGGGACATACTAATACTATACTACTAATATCTACTAATACTACTAGTACTACCACCACTACTACTATATACTACTACTACTACTACTACTACTACTACTACTATACACTACTACTACTACTACTACTACTACTACTACTACTACTACTACTACTACTACTACTACTACTACTACTACTACTACTACTACTACTACTACTACTACTACTACTACTACTTCTAGTACTGAAAGTACTACTATTATGGACATAATGGGTTCCTAGGGGTTTACATTGGGGTCTGTAAGGAGTCGTCGGAGGCCAGTCAACTGCATGCAGTGTTATATCCAGAGATAATTGGCATAAACTGACAGCGACCTGTCGGAAGAATGCTTTTTATGCATGTTGTGCACGGGTGTTTTTGGAGTGAGTGACCTCTTCAATGTGCTCGGGAAGATTAGGCCGGTTCTGACTTGAGACGCGAGACGCCTGGCCACATGTCACCTCTTGACCACGTCCCGGTCTGGCTTAGGTAAGGCGGGGCCCCGGGCCTCACCCCGGCGTAAGTTGAGAAATCCGGGACACTCTGGCGGCTGATCGCGCTGAGGCCGACACTTGGAGAACCAGGCCCTCTGACGCCAAGAGCAGGCCCAAGAGCGGCGCGACCACCGCCGACTTGCCTTCCCCCATGAGGAGCTGCCGAATCACAGGCTTGCCCGACCTCAGGGACCCAACCTTTTAGACCCTCCCGGTTCCTATGCCAAGAGCCGATTTCTCCAAGCGACCTGGCTGCTTCTGCGAAGTGGCTCACCAAGTGCAGCTGGCTCGCGCGAAGGTTCCCTTTACCAAAGAGCCACTCGAAGAGCAGGAAATGGGGGTCCAGGGCGATGCCGCCTCAGCTCGCAGACCCTCACAAAACCCACAAGACGACATCAACAACCCACGAGTCTAAACCCCGAACTTTAGATCCAGAGCCTTCCGGTTCTTTCTCGATGAACTCCTCGCTCGCTCCGAGCTCCGCAGCCAGTTTCGTGGCCAGGCTCCTTGGTCAAAAAGCGTCCGGACTCAGATGTTGAGAGACAGCCGAAGAAACTGTCAACTTATTGCATGACACCATTGTTTTGATTAGTCTTATTTCTGTTTCCATTTACTATTGTTACTCTCGGCGCGTCTTTGCAACATCCTCGTCTAGGAGGGTAGCAGGCTTGCAGAAGCACATCGCTCCGTTTCTGCCTGTCGTACTTTGCACATCGGATGACCCCACGACCGTAACACGATGAACGGTGGCCAAAATCATCCAAAATCTCCAAGCGGGCTTGCCATGCATGTGGTGAGTGTGGAATAGCTTACATATACATTGGACGACCCCGCGACCATAACACCATAAATGGTGTCCAAAATCTCCCAACGAGATTTTGATGCATGTGGTGAAGCATGTGAGCGTGGCACAGCTCACACATGCATTGGACAACCCCACGACCGAAACACAATAATGGTGTCCAAAATCTCCAAACAAGATTTTAAGGTTTGTGGTGAGTGTGTCCAAAATCTCCAAACGAGCTTTTGATGCATGTGCCGAGTGTGGCATAGCTCACATATACATTGGACGACCCCACGACCGCACCACCACTTGGGAGTACCAAACTTCAGCCCCCGCCCTGAACGTCTGGATTGGACCCAGAATCTACATTTCGGGGCTTTGCTGTTGCTTGAGGCTAACATTTAAGTCTGAATACGACTAGTTGCTTCCTCAACTGACATACATGCGCGAGTCGGGTACCGAGCTTGCGGGACTGAGGCATGCAGCCATGTAACAAAGGCTACTTACACTGGTTCCCGGCATTTCTATGTTGTGCTCTCTCTATCTCTCCTTTTCATATTGAGTTAAGTCCCCGGGGATCGAAAGGATCGGAATCGGGAGGCTCGTTCTCACTTCCTTATCCGAGGAGAGCCGAAACTATACAAGGAAACCAGGACAAGGCTCTGGAGGTCCCGCTGATCATCGAGGCTTAGGCCTCATACGCCACGGGAGATAGCAGGGTGGCTGAAGGAGCGCTCTTGCGCGTAGCCAGTCAGAAAATCTCCCAAGTTTGCTGACAAAACGATGTCTGGCTTGAGCTTCAGAAGCGTTAACTTTGGGGAGGTTCAGGGCTCCAGACCCTTAGCAGCTTCGGAAAGCCGCCAAGCACACGTCGTCGAACGCACGCCAAAGTACCAGTGATGACAAGTAACACTGCTTTTTGTAGAGAGAAAAATATCTCGCATTTCTCGCATTTGGGGCACATGCTCCTGTTAGGATGCAGCCCGTTGGCTTGCAGTAATTAAGAAAGGGTGAAACGAAGAAGATTGCAGAGGGAATCGCAGGTGGAGATGACCTTTTGTCCGCTCCTTGCATATGTGCGAAACCCCTGCAGTGTCGAGACGGACTGGACGCCTAGATCCGCGGCAATCGGCACGAGCAGAAGAGCTGGTACGCGGAGCAGGGCGAGCTTCAGGAAGAAGCGGAGAAGGTCGGCGCCGAGGGTGGCGCTGTCCAGTGCAGGCCCAAACGCTGGAATGCCCCAGTCAAAGCGGGGAAGTGACGACAGCAGTGGAAGCCCATGAAGATCCAGCACAAAGGCGACTCCCTCAAAGGGACCCTCAAAGAAAGAGGGGGGCTCACCCCTGCAAAACCCTTCAATGCACTCTGCATGCGTGAACTCAACCAACTGGGAGGCCTGCAAGGCAACCACAGTATGGGGTTCCGGCGGGTGGATCCACAAAACCGTGTGGTCGGGCAGCAGCGGAGGCGGAGTACCCACACAGACAGGTGTCGTGTCAAGTAGTCCAATGACAGTCGACGCATCCCGGTAGGTGCGGAAAACCGACAGGGGAACTGCAGGGTCAGGGACGAGCCATTGAACAATGTCATTCTGACAAATCCAGTCCGCACACTCGGCAAGTCGTGAACCTTCGGAGTATGTGATTAGGGCGTCCAGCCATGCCCGGGCTGTGGAGCGAAGTCTGTCCGTCGGGGCACAGACACAGGAGAAGGACAGGCGGATGCGCTCCCACAGTTCCGAGTCCGACAAGCTGTCGACTGACCCATCGAAGTCCAAATGATGGAGGCAGTCCCAGACTTCAGCAATGGGGCAGTCTTCTTGCCAGCCATCACGAGGCTGAACAAATTGGTGGATGGGACCGCTCCCGGGAAGGGCTGGGCACAGGCTCGACATCCGATCATCAACTCGACGGTGGCCAACACCCGGTTCGAATGGGCATGCATGGCCTGACAGGAGAAGCTTACTCCGACATGCGCGGGAGTAGCGGAGATGTCGACAGAGCCTGACATTGCTGGTGTAGGTTCTGAGGCAAGCTTGGCACTGGAGACCGGAGAGGATGCCTCTTCCCGTCATGCGACGGCCGTGGCATTTAAAGGCGTGGACCGACCACTTCTGGCGAGAGGGGAAGGTAGAGCGACAAATGGCACAGCAGTGGACCGAATCTTGATGGTCCAGAGCAGCTCCGTGGAGGAGAGCCCCTTGCAGTTGAAGCTGTTGGACCAAGAGGGCACAGTGACGCTGGTATGCCGCCTGCCATGTCTCTGTTTGGATCGCTCGGGCTTGTGCTCGTTTGAGTAGACTCTTCCAACGGCCGGGAGCGGATTGGATGAGTTCCAACCATGCCGGCCAAAGGTCCAGCCACTGTCTGCTATCATCAGAGGGCTTGACAGTGTTCCAAAGCCATTCAAGAGAAGCTCGGGCCGAATCACGCCATGCTCTTTCCCAGTGGGCTAGTGCCCACAGCTGCTTCAGGCCAAGACGCACCACCAGAAGCAGGTGTCTAAGTCTATGAATGTGCAGCAGAACCGAGATCGATGGAAGACCCAAGAAGGCAAGAACTTGGTCCCTACCAGAATGAACGGCTTGGTCAAAGTCCCAGTGTGGTCGACACATATGGCAAGCCATACGTTCATAAGCCGAACCAAGTGACGATTGGGCAGCTGTGCTAAGGGCCGGCCATGTCCCAGCACCATGCATCAGTACTGAGAGAACCAAGGACTGGTAGAGGGTCGTCTTAGCCCCTCTGGGAACCCCCGGAGAGCCAAAGATCTGTCGCTTCCGTTTTTGGAAGGCGTCGTGAGCCATGCCCACACGGGAACGAACCTCACGGGCCAGATCTCCCGAGAAGTGGATAACCCCTCCCAGGTGGCGGTACGAGTTGACAACCCGGACTCTGGCATCCTTCCACAGGCGGGATGGGACGTCGATGGATGGGTCCTTGTCCCGGAAGAGACTAGCTCGGCAGACCTTGGCGCCAGGACCCGAAGGAACAATTATGAGCTCCGTCTTCCCTCTCGCAAGGTTCGGAAGGAGGGCCCGTGACAGACAAGCATCAAGAAGGGCACCGGTAACACACCTGGCTTTGTTCAGGATGGCATCTGCTGAGTCTGCTAGCATCATCAGGGCCAGGTCGTCCATCCATGTGGCGTCCATGATGTCAACTTGCTGTGCTCCCTGCTTGTCACACGGAAACACCTCCCCGAGCATGGATTCATGGAAGGGGAGCGGGGTCGTGCAGCCCATGGCAACCATGTCATTGGAAAGCTCCTTCAAGACACGGGAGAAGAGGAATGAGAAGATGACATCGGCGCAGTTGTCGCCTGGCCGACTTCCGATGCCAGTCTGCACGAGGGAGGGTCCGGCTTTGAATCGGAACCAAGTCGACTCTAGGACCTCTCCCATGGCATGGGAGAGCCACGGGCTGGCCCCACTCCCAGCGAAAACCGATTCCTTGGACAAGTGGAGGTGGAGTTCATGTAGAACTCCCTGAGGGAGCCTGATGGTCGACGCAACCTTGGCGATGGCCTCATCACACAAAGTGGCACCTGTAAGCAAAGGTCGGCAGACACGATAAAATGCTTCCTGGAGGTCGAGAAACAGCACGGCAAAGGACAATTTCCTTGCTCGTGCCGCCGCAACAAAAAGGCGGACAGAGTGCGAGACGGCGGTCACTGGGCAGGCTGGTAGGCCTCCAAGTTGGAGCGGTGAGGTTACCGACGAGAGGGGACCCACACACTTGGATCTGAGAAGCCGATGGAAGGCTTTCCCCGTTACAGCAGAGATGAGGATACCTCTGTGGGAGGCGCAGATGGCCGGCGAACCTTTGCCTTTCCATGCAGCCTCGAGGCTCCCGCCCTTGAACTGGATCGGTTCAGCAAGGCGCATGCTCGTCTTGAGCAGCAGTGGGTACAGAGCTCTTGAAGCGGACGCCACAGCGAAATCGAGTCCAGCCGCTCGCCCAGTAGAGGTGGCCCGGAGCGCAGCTTCGAGCTCAATGCGACTGGGGAGGTCAGCTTCGGTAATCAAGAGAGGGTCGAGGTCTCGGTCTGCCTGTGCACGCATACAGGCCGTGGCAAGCTCATGAGGTTGGATCCTGCGGCCATCCTCAATGCCAGCGAAGTGTTGGATCCAGGTGTCCTCCACTTCTTCAGAGGTGGTGGCTGGCGTGCCGCTGGAGGTGAGGACGAGGGGAAGACCCTTGTGTGTCCTTGCTTTGCGTCGAGGCGGACCGAGCAAAGGTTTGAGTCTTCGAACTGCCTCGGCGGTTGCACAGTGTTCAGCCTCTGCAGCGACATCCGTAATCCTGCGTTGGATGTCTTGGCGAACCGCCTGCCTGAGTGCCTTCCGTGTCTGTCGGAGCTCGTTGGCAAAACCTGTGAGACGGCGCTGTCTGCCCATGACGGAGAAGACATGGCAAAGTTCCACCACCGACAGACGACAGTGTCGCCTCCACGCCGTGAAAGGAGCATGAGTGTGGAGTGGTGTAAGACGCTCGCGGCTGCGAAGGATTTGGCGGCGTAGCCACACCCTCCTTTGTCTAAGGTGCCATGTGTGCTCGCTAAAATGAGAGGAGCGGCACTGGCCTCTTTTGTTGGGGAACGCACGAGAAAGCTCCGCGCGGAGGTAGTTCTCAAGTGCCGCCCAGTGACGGTGTACATTGGTCGACCATGGTATGGCCGGAGCGTTGTTCCAGATGGATGTGAGGGCGGCTTGTCCCTCTGTCGTACCCATCGCATCCCTGTCGACCCGGTATCTGGAAGAAGTGGGAGGAGGTGCCTTGACAAGTGCAGAGGTCTCGACCTGGACTGCAAAGTGATCAGTGTGTCCCTGGCCCCAATCCAGACAGGTCTGGACACAAGAGGCCTGCGGGCCGGCAATCCAGGTGCAGGGGATGCCGATGAAGTCGATCCGTGAGCCAGATGTCCCAGAAGGTGCAACCCATGTCAATGAAGGGCCCTGGTGAACATCCGGAAAGGTAGCCGGGAACCAAATGTCTTGCGTGTGCATGAGACGTTGAAGGCCGATCGGGACTGTGCCGGCTCCTGGGAAAACGAGGCTGCCAACTCGACCCGGTAGTTCAGCAGAGAAATGGGTGTTGTAGTCCCCCAGCAGAACCACATCGTGGGCTTCGCTGAACCTGTGCAGTCTCTCGTGGAGAGAGGCCCACCATTTTTCCCGGTGCGGGTCGCAGGTGGTAGGGCCATGGATGCAAACGAACAGAATTTTGATGCCCCCCCGTGCAAATCGCACCACAAGTGTGCGGGGGTCGGAAAAGGCGACAAGGAAGTCCCCAGGCTGAAAGAAGTACTTAACCCCTTTATCTGAAAGGAACGGGAGAAGACGGCAGAACCATATCTCTACGCCCAGGTTGCCAGAGGGATCCTTGCCAGAGCAGAACCTAATGTGCGACCTGGAGGTAATCGTGTCACTAGCCGAAGCGCGGGTTTCTTGGAGGGCAGCAACGTGGATATGGAGGGCCTCCAGTTGCTCACGTAGGAAACCTGCTCTACCCGTAAATCCCTGACACTCTGCTTCGGGAGCAGAGACATCATTCAGGGTTTGAACATTAACTGTGAGCATTCTAAGGGAAAGAAGCTGAGCACATCCCGTCTTATGCTCCGGCGTCTCCTGGTAGCCGAACCATGCCCGTGCCTCTGAAACCGACGGTGGTTGTGTGTCTAGGAAACGACCAT